ATATTAGTATACAGTATGGATAGCCACCTTAAGCATATAGATAATAAGAGTTAAAGATAATTCCAATGAATGCTGAGACCAACGCGGATTAAGCCGAAGGAAGTGTGGGAGTCTTTCTTTAAAAGTAATAGAGTAAAATAAGATCGCTTGAGTCAGAAAAATATTTAAAATGAATTATTAAAAAATAAAAAGAAACTTATAATATGGCATTTATTATATTCTTTTACTTCTACATGAATTTAAATACACTTTCTGTCCTGATTTAATTATTGTATCTATGTATCTTTCCAAACTCAAAAACAAAACAAACTCCAAATTATTAAAATTCAATAATTATGATACATTAATAAGTAAATTTATATTATTATTATGATATACGTAAAATCAAAAACACTGAGTTTCAAATCTATACATATTAAACAAATTTGTAGAAAAATAAATTAATTGTAATTAATATATTTGTATGATGTAATTTTATATAGCGTAATGTGATGCACAATTTAATACATTCTGTTATTTTCACGCAAGTGTAGTAGTTTTGTTTCCTGTCGCGATAATCATCAGTTACGCAACGGATGTTTGCGTGTTGAATTTCACAGTAGAACATTGTTGTTCACGATGCAAGGGTAGATTTATCTGATTGAATATAGCAATCGACAATGCAGCTGCATATCTTTCTCTGTTTCAGGGCTGATTTAACGAGATTAATCTGCTTGAAAATAATTTACCCAAGAAGTATAGTATTACAGTTTGCATAATCATCATGTTAGGGGATGTTTAATGTAGATAAAGATATTACAGAAACGACTCTTTCAGTTCGATTAATATTATTTTCATAAAATTGCTGGATCCATAGCAAAGGCTTAATATGTATGTATATATGTATATATTTATATTCTAAGAACAAAATTGAAAAATCTTAATATTAAAACTTATCTTCATAAAATGTTTGAAAAGTAAGAAAATTTAATTCGTCTCATAAATTTAATAATTATGTATGGGAAGTGTGTAAGTAGGTACATATTAAAATTTAATAATTGAAGTATTAGAAGTTTAATTGTTAGACTTTCCAAGTAAAATAGATAAGTTTACTTACTTTAGAAATATTAGATAGAAGATAAATATTAAAAATACAATTGCCAATAATTGCCAATCTATCTGTAAATTTATACGATATAGTATACATATATAGGTATGTCTATTCATAATATATGTATTACCCGATAAGAAATAGCAAGAATAATAAAAAAGATTAAAATTAGTAAATATTATATTGAATATTAAAGTCTAATACTAAAATTGAATATTAAAATTCTATACTCTTTTAACATTTGTATATACTATAATAATTCTATTTTATTATCAACTCGTTAAATATCTAAAAATTCCTAAATTACAAAAGTCAAAATGGCTAAGGCTCAAAAACACAATGCTATAATAGATTCGCTTGAAATATAAACAAATCACAGACAAAGGACAAATTTCATCACGCGCACTAGGCGACTTTGACCTCAGACTTAATTTACAACACGGTGGTAATCTCGCGCGGAAGACCAGTTATTTAAAATCTCCTCGCCCGCAATTATTCTCCACACAATAAGCGACAGCCCTAAATGCGCAACACTTTCGCTCTCACTTTGTGTGTTTTCTCTTTCTCTTCCTCTTTCTGCTTTCCCATCTTTTTTCTGTTAAAAATAACACCTCCAGATGAAAACGAGGAGACAGAAAGAGAGAGAGGAAGAGAGGAAGAGAGGGAGAGGAGGAGAAAGACCGTCGCGACACAGAAGGGGAGTGAAAAGTGGCGGAGGTTACTTCCGTAAAAATTAATATCTCGTGGGAAGGACGGTGCACCGGCTGTTAGCTCAAGTGCAGACCTGGCAAGAGTAGAGGGAACCAGACGGAAAACTTTGTTTTCCAAAGCAACTTCTAGCGATGGCCTCAAATATGTCGCAGGCAGTGTGCAGAATGGAACATTCACCGAATAGATTCAATCCCTCTATAAATAGCTTGAAAACAAGAAGCGGTACTTTTTCAAATATATTCGAACTCTCTATAAATACATTGAGAGATAAAATAGATACTTGCAAATAGAATGGAATACTGCTGAAATAGGTTTGAAAATTTACGTGCACCTTATCAGAAATTCTCCATCCGCTTAAAATTATTTTTCTCGGTTATCATTCTTAGATATGTGGTTACAGGTATAAACGTTGAAACAGAATTTATAGGAATCCCGTTAAATTGATTAAAAGCAATTAATTCCGTGATTCTCATAATTCGATTGCTACTGGGAAGGAATTCGATGCATTCGAATATTAAAATACACTTCAACATTTGGAAATTCAAAAATCCCAAAATTTGGAAATTTGAAAATTTGAAAGGTTGAAACTTTGACAATACGTGAGTTTAAAATCTCGGGTGCTCGAAAATTTGAAAATTTCAACATCCTACAATTCCGAAATGTCGATACCCAAAATTCTAAAATTTGAAGATTTCAAAATTCCAAAATTCCCAAATACGAAAACTTGATAATTTGTTAAAACATCGATGTAATCTTAAACAAATTCTCAAAACTTACAAATATGCAGATACTGGAACAAAATAGCATGTCTCTTAGGAATATAGATACCTAATACTAATAGTAATCCGAACTCTATGAAAGGATCCTTTGCTATTAGTACACGTTAAACTTGATCCCATCACTAACAACTATTCGCCTCCCTTTTGTGGTTTTGCTCTTTGTTCTCAGGGATAACCCTGAGAATAGATATTTTTCGAGGAGCGTCGAGTTTAGGAGTATCCCAAAGAAACTCTGGCTCACGGAATTCACGAGCTTTCAAACGACCGCACATCTCTCTCTCTCTCTCTCTCTCTCTCTCTCTCTCATCGACTGGGGTTGGTTTGGTCTTTAAGATCAGTTTAATTGGTCTTGACCGCTTGACCGGAGTAATTGGCCGATCCGAAATTCGGTTTCGAAACTAGCTGCTGGTTGAATCTTGAGGCCATTTGAAGGCGTCCTCAAAATCTCTTTGTTCTCAACGAAACGAGAAGCCGTATTTAATGTTTGGAAAAGTTCGAGGAATTGGAGTTCGGTTCGATTGTTTCAATATGGATTGTTAAAGATAAGTTTGACGATAGTCTTATGATATTTAATGCGCATGGGTAATTAATTAGTAATTAATATGTAGTATCAATTACCTAACACACCTATATTTCCCGATATAGAAAAGATAATATAATATTGCATACCGTTCAAACGTATGTATTCATATTACAGAAATGTTTATAAACTAAAATCTTGTTACTTTGGCGATCAAATATTTTTATGATAGAAGCTTATGTGATACATCGGTTATCAGAAATTGTGCGTAGTTTGTCTTTCTTCTGTTCGGATAGAACATTGCGTTATATCGTCTAAAAACGTACATTTTCTATCTTTTTTTTCACAATTAAACTACATAATTTCTTCTAAGCGAGTAACCCAAATACCATCTCGTCAAAATAATATGCAACAAATGTTACCAATTTACTAAATCAAAATTAACACATATCGATAATTAGATCATTGCTAATTTATGAAAATAACTTTTATAGGAAATACTATCAATATACATCAATAAACAAACCATTGCTAATTAATTCAAAGAAAAAGCATAAATCGTTTCTAATTCTTAACAAATGTTATCGGTCTAATAAACGAAAAAGCAATATATACATATCTAGTCATTGTTATCCAAACAACGGAAAACCGACTCTCTCCTCCCTTTTTTCAATTTTACCGCGGCCAGGAAGTAGGAGAAGGGAAGAAAGAAGAGAACTGGCCGCGGTGGTTGCGGGATATGATGAAAAGCATGGAATGGCGAGGAGAAGGGCGAGGGAGGGGGGAACATTTTGGTGGGTTGGAACGTGGCTGTAGAATTTCAGGAGAATCCTGACGAGGGATTGGCTGTGTCGGAGTGAACTTATGAAACGGCCAACCCCGGTAGAGTCGAGCGAGATATTAAATTTCTGGAATTTTGCGGTTAGGCGCGTCTACATGCCGACGGGTCTGCCACCAACACATCCGCGTTTCTGTGCTCGTGTCCACGTGCCGTGGCTAAGAAAATTCTTTCACAGGATTTCTCCCATTACCATCTCGATACCCCCTGTCTCCGCATAGTTATTCAATATGCTTGTATTGGTACGTAATATGGCTCGGATAAAGGCGGTTCGTTTGATTTCTGACTTCCATTGTTGCTAGATAGTTAAGATTCGCAGCGTAGTTAACTCTAAGTGATTGATGTTTTGCTTGATTATGTAAAAAAAACCTATATTTCTGAATTGATACGGTTGATTGTAGAACCTGAAATTGAAGAAATTAATTATCAAGTGCTATGTGCTTATAGTATTTAAGAATGACGTTAATGTCAAGTCTGAATCATCGAGGAAATCTTCTCAAATTTCTTTCTTCGCTCTACTATTAGTAGACTCTTCAATTCGATATCTTCTCATCTTAATTTATTAATTTCTCCTCTTTAATATTTGTCAAAGACATCAATCTTTCTTTCAAATACACGATACCAATAATCAACGTACACAAAGATCCAATATTCAATATTTACAAATTCATACTTTTATGAATATAACTAGAGAAATGTATCCAATTTAAACAGAGATTTGTTTCTCAAAGTGCCTTATATGTGAATTATTGCACATTCAAATTTCCTATACTGAAACTAAGCATAATCATCCGTAGTCTAGAAATGAGTCGTTTAAAAGTCACGTTGATCAACTCGAAAAGCAGAAAAGAACGATGATGTTGCAAATACTATTCTTTAAATTTAGAATTTACTATTATTTATATCACTATCTTTGCAATAAATGAACTTATGAAAGTCATTTATTCCTTGAGAATTAAATATAAAATATGTAATGATATTGAGGAATTGACAAAAAGCAGAGTCGATCAGTTTGGTTCCTGAGATTCAATAACAATGATTCAAATAACAATTACTCATTGCTCGTTAACGTCGTCTTTATTGTTTTCGCAAGTAACTTAAAATACGATCCATATCTCGTATGTACGTAACATTTACAATTCTCTTAAAACTACTTTCAAATTAGGGCGCTCATGGTCCTCGTCAACTTACAATTACGCATAAATCCATTAAATCCACAAGTAAGTCCTCTAATTGACCTACGGTAAGGTCAAAAAGTATCTAGAGTCGCTTGGTCCAGTGTAAGCAGCATAAGATCCACTGCCCAATGGAAGTACTCCAGCAGGATTATCGTATTGATACTGTACTTGTGTAGCAACCGGTTGAATTTCTAATTTTTGCGGTTTCGATTCGGCTGGTGTTGCGATCGGTGTAACTGGAGCGACAGACACTTGCAGTCCAGCTGGCACGATTTGCAATTTTTGGAGAGGAGCGTAGGCGTAGATGGGTCCACGGAGTGGTTCCACGTTTTCAGCACGAATCTTAGCGAAGTACTTCATGGCTTCGATGTTCTGGCGGCTGACGTAGCGGACTCGTTGAAGACGGCCATCGGGTAAGGCTACGTAGTACTCGCCAGATTGCTGCGGCTGTTGTTCATCTACTTCTTCGTCATCGAGCTCGTTCACGGAGTTGACGGGTTCGGACTGATAAAGTGGAAAAATAGGAATAGAATTAGATTTATATAGGGTACAACCGAAAAAGAAATGATTCTTTATGTAAAAGTAATGAATCAAAATATGGTCTTCTCCGATAAACGAACAAATAACCTTCTTCCAAAAATTATATGCGGAATTTAAAAACTACAAAATTTTCCAGCCTAAAAATGTTATTAAGAATCTGAAAACTAAATGACTTCCTACTTTAAAAATATTATTAAAAATCTGTGAATTAATTAATCCTAAAAATAAGATTCCTATTATTCCCATTTAAAAAATTCTTCTAAAAGTTCTAAGAATTTTTCTTATAGTCAAAAAGAAAAAAAAACTCCAGCAACAATACCAATTTCATATATATTCTCGCTGCACCCGCTAAAACGAGCAAAGTAAAGAAGGCTCCACAAAGAGAACGGAAGAGACGCTTAAATTTCATCGACGTTGAAACATCGTGTTACGTATTATCAGACTTGTTATCGTCTTATTTGGTACAACGAAGGAGAAGAAAAGAAGATTGGGAAAGTGCAGGGCCGTTTGGCACAAGGCTACACGAGAAACACAACGCGAGGTTTCCACGGAATTTTAAATCGCGTCAGGGAATCGTTCGCTCCTGTCTTTCCCTGGGTTCCTTTCTGTCTCGTTCTCCTTTTTCGGCCGTCTTAACAACATTAGTATTCTACTCATCGTTTACTTTCGATCGCTGTGCAGGCACGCGTGTGCCCCTACCAAATTCAAAGGCGGCGTGATACAATCCGTGATGCAGTGATCCGTGATTTCAGTTCCTCCGATCATTCTCGTTATCATTCTTTCGATTGAACGTTTTCGAAAATTCCGACGATAACTTAATTGTCTCCTTTTAGATCGATTTATTACTGTGTTTGAGATGTTTTATGTGGATTGACGAACTGATTCGACATTTTCGAAACCAATTTTCTTTTAAAGCTATGACTATGATTTGCAATAACACTAATTTCGAATATAATTTTCTTATTAAAAATTAACAAAATGTGGCTTAGGTTGTTGTGTTTGAAAAGTTCAATAGCTTCGAATATTTTCAAAGTAATTGTTATAATATAATTATTAGACTGTAAATGTTTATAGAAATTCATATTTTTATTAACACGATTTAAAAAATGAAATCTAAATAGAGATTTGTTTCTTTTACTGAATATTGCAATGTGCGCATTGCGTTATATATTAGACACTTATGTGTATACAAATCATATTTTGATCTTAGACAATTATTTGTGGCAATGCAATATAGAAAATCCTAATATTCATCGCTAAACCTATAATAGTATTAAACACGAAATAAAGAGAATTCAAAACGAAATTCTCTTATCTCAAACTCACTGGTACCATACTTAAATATCAAAAGAATCCAAATTATAATTCTCTTACCTCAGACTCAGTGACACTAGCAACCGTATCTACTTCAGTAGTATCTGGCACTTCCGTAGTAGTAGTTTCCTGTGGTGGTCCATACTGTTGTTGAGGAACCGCAGGTGGCCCATATTGTGATTGAGGAACACTAGGAGCTCCATATTGCTGTTGAGGAGCAGCAGGTGCTCCGTATTGCTGCTGCGGTGCACTAGGAGCTCCATATTGCTGTTGAGGAGCAGCAGGTGCGCCATATTGCTGTTGAGGAGCAGCAGGTGCGCCATATTGCTGTTGAGGTGCGCTAGGTGCTCCGTATTGTCTCTGAGGTTCTCTTGGGGGAAGATTGAAGGCTGGTCCAGGTGACCTCCATCCAGAAGGTGCATAAGGTGCGCTAGCAACAGTGGTGGTTTCTTCCTGCTGTCTGGCGAAGTAGAATTGCCTTTGTTGTTGAGGACGGTATCTTGGTGGTTCTGCCATCACCGTGGCGGTCAGAAGAACGAAAGCGACGAAGATCTGTTTTTAAGAGTGAAATATTAAATTAATAGTGTCCTTCCAATCGAAATCTACTATCTCTGTTCATTTTACTTGGCGCCCAATATCGTTCGAAAAGAAACAACTTTTTTGGTTTAAAAATATGGCTCTTACAAATAGAAATTTAAATAACCACTTTTGAAATGTCCAATAAGACGCAAAACTACGTATCTAATTTTACGATCAAATAAATTTTTGTGGCAAAAAATTGATTATTAAATTTCAAAGTCGCTTGTCCTGAATTTTTCTCAAAGTCTATAATTATTTTTTGTTAATAGACAGTAGTAGTACATATCTACAATCAATCATAAAAGTATCAAATTAGTACTATTAAAAATTTTCTCTTTATTCCAATTACATATCTTTAAGAACTAAATTTTAACAAACTTTAAATATATTAAATTAAAATTAATGTAAAAAAAGCTTCTCCGATACTTAAGAACAACTTGCTGTTGGATAATTGAACGTATATATAATATATGTATTATTTCGAAAACTGTTTAAGTAAAATTTGAAATTTTTGATGTTTGTAATAAAGTGATTGCGAATTTGTTCTTTGAAGATATCACGCTAATTGTAAGAAGTACCTTCATTGTGGTGCTAGTAAGTTACTCGGTTGAACTGTCGAGTTGACTGATTTCCAAAGTCGACGAGTTGGATTATATACACTGAGTCTCGTATGCGTACTGCATGTTTAAAAAGAATTATGCCAGTTTGCCATCGAGTGACATTGACCTCCTAAAACACTGATGAATCCTCCATCATTGTTGGCTCACCATCCGGTCGCGTCTTACCTTCGTTTATTTCGGCGTTTCGAGACACGTACTCAATGAACACCACATTTCGTTTATTCGAACTTTGTTACCTTCTTTCTCGAATTAAATTTACTTCTTGTTCATTTTAGTTTCTACCATAGTAAGCGAGTGGAGGTATAATAAGGTTTAGAGTGATTTCGATCGTTGACTATTCTCTTAACCTTTACGCTATTTCATACATTCAATTATCTTATTACTAGATTACTAGACTGCGCATTTTTGTCCATTTATTAGAAATTTAAAGCTGAAAAAATGCATAGAATGTACATAATACACAAAATGTATATAAAAAAATAAGTATATGTATATATGTATATAAGAATATAAGTAATAAATACATAAAATATCTAAAATACAGTACTTGTTATACCGCTTAATAAGTGAAACAAACATCTGTCTATGTATATATATGTATATATAGATATATATAACATTTAATAACACGCTGCAGTTCTAATTCAAAAACGACATTCGGCAGCTATCAAATTTCTAATCGTACTTCGAAGACAATTCCCTATAAATAAAAAAAAATTCCTTAAATATTCCCCTGTACGTACAATCAAGTTAATAACGTACGACAGCAGAATAACATTCAACAGTAAAATTTAGTAAACGTATCGGTATCAAAACGGTCATCGCGATATTTTTAATCTAAATCGAGAAATCCCACATATGCTAATCATCACAAATTTCTAAGTCTCATTCTTATTCTACGAGTCGTCATCTGAATCAGCAAGAATTTATCATTCATTGTTCATGGCCGATTCTTGTACATCGACGAAAGAACATCGATTACGTCGAATCACAGATCGTACATAGAAACCTGAAGTAAACATGATAAAATTATGCATTGAAAGTACTAAATTATCGTTAATTCGTAATTAGTAAATAGAGCTTGTGCTTTGTTCTTTTTTTAGCTACTCTCTCTTTCGTAACTTACGGCCGCTTTCTGCGTGTATGTGTGAGTGTAGTATACAATTTTCTATTACCTATACAATACACGACAGAATCAGGAAAATATGTTACATTTGCGATAGAATATTTTTATTACAATATTTTATATTTAAGGAACATATATAAATATTCATAAATGCCTCCTGTATATAGAATTTACAAAATACATGTTTACAAATATTCCGATCACGATTTATTTAAGCAGTTAATTATCCATTACTTATACTAATAAATTTTGAAATTCAACAGGACCATATTTACCACTTACTATGTACGAGTACCAAGGTACTTAAGATGGCTAATTTTTTCCTAAATTTTCAATTTACTATTTTTTACTGAATATATGTTTGCGATAAATGTCTCGTAATTTCCATATATGCATATTGCCAAGTTGGCTTCAAATTTTGTCAATATGTGTTAATGAAATATTAAAATGTTTCATGGGCCTCGTATACTATGAACATACAAATTTTCCACGTTAACGGTTCAAATAATAGTTAACGAAAGTTGAGGAATGTTGTTTTATAATTGTTAAAGTAACAGTACGTGTTCGCCAATGGCTAATAATATAACGCGACGTTAAATAAAAAGATAACGACGTTCAATAAATTGAAAAAAAAGCTTTCTTGAGCACTGTATGTGTAATATGTACGCAATGTTCACAGAAAGTATTTACACACTATTGTGTTTATTATAGCATTTATATACTAACTAATTAGATTCCAATAAATTAAATTTCATGTTATTTAGTAAGTACCTCCTTTCATATGACAACGAAAAATTGATACTGTGGAAATGAAACGCATCTGCTAGAAAAACGTTCCATCCAAAAATAAGCGTAGGTACATATATATGGATATGTATGTATGTACCAATACTTTTTGCAATCACTATATATAATACATCTAATATACAATTCGTGTGTATCGTGAATCGACATCGATTATGTGACGATTACGTCGATTTAATATTAAAGCAGGCGACGAATCGATGACGGCACGCTCCAGGCGTCATTTTAATTGATTCTTCGCACGCAGGACGCGTGACTATGATTTTCGCACTAATAAATTCAGTGGTGAACTCGATCCTCGAGCAGCATCAGAGAAAAGAAGGATGAAGAGAACGTGCACGGCGATATCAGGGTCGAGCGTGCGTTCATCCTCTAGAATTTATAATGACAGATACAATTCTGTCAGCAAGTGATTCATGCGACAATTCGCAAAAGAATCTCATGGTCGACGCCAGACGCCGTTAAATTTGATCCGCAAATTTCGAACACGACCAAATTCCTAATCGAATTTTTCACAACAAAGGTCGAATTATTACGCAATCAACGAAAATAGAATTTTATCAGATTTTTCAGTGTTTTTTATTCTGTGTACGTTTTATCTGTGGTTAAATTTAATTTTGGTTGCCTATATATTTATGAGTTTTACAATTGTAAGTACATACACTGCAAAATTTGTAATCGAATTTTTAAAAATGATGGTCGAATTTTTACATAATGAGTAGAAATAAAATTTTATCAATTAATTGTTTTCTTCCTTTCGATCTTGTGACTTATGTAAGTATGTTATATCTAGATTGGGTTTGTTTAATTAATTAGTTATCTACAAATTTTTATTTCCTCACTTTTTGTTTTGATCTTCTACTTGTAATTGATATTACTTTTTAATTTCTCATAAATTAATTTTGCCAATTTGAATTCTAACATATTTCGAAGCAATGAATTGAAAATAACGACAAGAGGCAGCTAAACATAAGTCGTTTCTTCCTATCAGATTTAACAAACAAATAAATGTATATAATGTATAAACGTGTGTACATGTATAAACCGATATCTACAGCAGAGTACTTACTTATCATAATATTTAATAAATTAAATAAATTTCTATTTAGATTCCATTTCCTTAATTTCATTCATAAATATAAAATTCTATAAATGTCGGCAGTCTAATTATTATTTTACATATAAAAACTTGTGTATTATATTTTGCGTATAATGTCTGTGTAAAAATATATAAAATATTCAAAGTAAAATGCTTATTATAGTATTTATTAGATGAAGTAAATTCCCATTTAAATTCCATTTCTTTAGTTTCACTCATAAAAATATATTATAAAATTGCATAAATATCCGTCATCTACCAATAACACTAACCTTACCCTTACTTTTGCACCGTTATGAGAATTCACGTATCATCCGAAGATTTAAGCCTTTACAAACAAACGTATTTTCGCATTAGCCGTAAATAAGCTGAGTTACGTATGTTAACGCCTAGCTCTTTTGCTGCTCTTCAGACCTTCAAAATAGACCTTCGAAATATCAGGAAAATTTCTAGGATATTTATTAATGCCTTTGTCAAACGTTTCTTAAGTAAAATGTTAATAGGTTTTTTAGGAAAAATAACAATTTCGCTTCCAAGAAATTCGCGAATGTAATTTCGCCCGGGGTGTAAACGACCCAGGTTGCCTATGGAGGGTTAACATAAAATCATCAGAAAGTACGAATCGGTAACCGTGACTCGCGGAATGTGGCAATGTCGAAGGGCGATCTCATAAGAGAGAAAAGGGAGAGTCTGGCAGCGAACAGAGATGAATATAGAAGAGAAGGAAAGGATAGCAAGTAGGGGCAAGCGGAGGGGTGGTCTGGCTAAAGCAAATTATTCACACTCAAATGACTCCATTTCAATATCGGACCGAGGCTCAGGGACAAAAGAAGGGCGAGATGCCTGTCTCCCTTCTGCTTTCGCTTTGCCAGTGCCTGATACCTTTGCCTGCAGCCTGCAGGCTTAACTCTCCTTTTTTTTATCCCTCTCGCTCTCTCTTTTGCTGTTTTTTTCGTGCCTCCATCTTTGTCTTCGGTTCTAAACCTCTTCTTTTCGCTCATTTTTCTATACGCTATTCCACTACACCTCTGTGTGTGAACGTGTCTATACATCGAGCATATAATAGGGAGAAAGTAAGAGACGAGAAAACTGCTCGAATCCACGTTAAATGCAAGATAAATCGCCATGATGAGTATCCTTGACCTTTTATGAGTTGGAGTTAATGGTAGAGGTAGATTAAGATTGATAAAATTGATAGAATAGTTAGTGCTGGTAATGCATTGCGAAACAATGAGTATATTGCGGATTTTTATGCGTTTATGGAAAATTTGAAGATGCAAAAATACACAAAATTCGCATAAAAAACAGTTTAAAAATGGAATATACAAAATACCCAGAATAAAGTACTCTCTATAATATTTTATAGGTAGAATATCCTACATAGATTCTATATTACCAATTATATTGATAAAAATATGAATTTATGTAAATTTTTATATCTATATGTAAATTTCGCAAGCTCGCGGTTCCAAAATGATGAGTGTGAATTATAATGTTCACGAAACATTATGCCGGAAGAAAGTTCAACGCGCTGTTAAAAACACAATCGAAACTCCAAGGAGCACAGGTACATGATAATAATAAAATAATAATAAAACTCCAAAATCTAAAATTTTATGTACGTGCCTATATGTATGATGGTAAACTTTTTGAATTATTAAAATATTACACTTGTACACTTTAATAACATTTGTGTTACATCTACGTTTCCCTTGTCTAAATTATAGTCTGCAATCTTTCTAACATGGTTTGTGTCATATAAAAAGCACAAGGGAAAAATATGATGTTAGATTTTTATAAAGAACCAATTTCTAAATACACCGCAGTACCAATCAGTTAGTTTTCAGATTAAATATACATATGTTGAGTATTTCAAAAATATTAATTGTGTGTATGTATTCGTGTATCCCTTTCAACTATGTCATACTGAAAGTGACATCAAATTCAGAAAGTTGATAAAAATTAATTTATCATTCTGTTTCTGTGCAATCTTCACGTACCATCTATGTATCTTAAGTGTTTTGCTTCATTTTTCTTTTATAAAAAAAATTTTTAACCGGTCCATGTAACGATCAGAGATGGATCGACAAATAACTTTTTCAGACCCTATACACTTTTCATTGCATTCAAATTGAACGAATTGCTTGGATATGACGAAATGGGAATATCTTTCAGTAAAATCCGTGATGTTATGGAGTAATAAATTAATTTGTATAGGCACGAACATCTACGTATTAAATAATAATTTGGGTAGCCAAAGACAATTTATTTTTTTAATTTAGCGTCGTAGATAAAAGAATGAAATTTTTATACATGCTTCTACTACGATGGCTAATAAACTGTTCTTATATGTTTTCAATATTTAAAAGTTTAAAAAACACGTATTTCATTTA